CACACCGCCTCTATTGATAAAATACTGAACGAAAATACTTCTGCCACCAATTAGTATGTATGTAAAAAAATACCGGATACCGGAATGGTTCTTTTTTTAAATTTGCGTAAATTTAAGGTGGAATAAGTAGATGATATATGGATATTGGTAGGTATGTATTTTTAAGGATGTTGACATGAGGTTCTTTTTTTTAAATATACTTGTAATAGATCTATGTTTGGGCATTAATGTTTGGGTATAAAACCTTTACTCTAGACATTACTATTTGTTAAGTCAAGGTAAATTAAAAAAAAATATTAGTATGATTTTACGCGAAAAAAGATCCTGAACAATAAAGTGAAGAATTTTTAATTTAAATATGTTTGTCAAACATGGTAATAACCCCGAGTATACTGAAAGCTCGAATGAGAGAGAGAGATCTTTGTCCAATTCATATTGTACATATTTGTACAATATATTAATTGTGTGTGTTTTAGACTTGATACAACCGATAGCTTAGACAAAAAGTACAAAAAAAACATTAGCTCTTATTACAGGAATATATAGAGGATTGTATTTGTACTCTTTTAGGCTGATAGTAACAAAATAACATAGCACGTCTTGTACATACACAACGTGGATACATTTGAAAAACTTATTTCTTAGCTTTACATGGATTCGCCGCTGCCGGGTCCATTGCGTGGTAGATGCAGGGGCAACAACTGCTACCGTGACTTGCGCCTGGGACTTGCTACCCAGACGTAGGTTTATGGAATACCCCTTGCGACAAGTCAGCGCTCACCTTAACTGTCTGCTGTGTTACCCCCTTTACCTAGCCATATTGATGTGATCCTAACAATGCCGCTTTGAATATTCGTTCAAGAAAAGAGTTTACTGAATCTCTTTACAATCCAACGTCTTTTATTTTCTTTTTTCTTTTTTATAAAAAGACAACTCCCCGCATTAGGAATATATCCTGTGTCGCGGGGGACTTTACATACATGCATGAAACGGACACAAAGAACACCCAGACTCACACCAGACACCCAGCCTATGAGAGAAAGAGAGAAAGAAAATGTGTACTCGCACCTCTCTCCCTTGTCCCTACAGTAATATACGAAATGTAACTCTCTCTCTTTCTATCTTCACTAACTTATATCTCCCTCTCAACTTCCGTTCGCCTCGCCCGATCACACTTTTCGTAACGCTCTCGTCACGCAGCTCAAGCGAGCGTGAAGAAGTTTTACTTCAATATTAATTAATTATAATTTTTTTGCTGTGTATAACCTAAGTATTAAATAAATAAATGGACCAGAAACATTGAGATATAAGTAGTACTTATATCTCGATGACCAGAAATAACTCGTCTCCTGTATCAATACTTATAGCTTTATAAAACCGCAATAGGCAAGCGGAACCGCAGTCTAAATATATAGAGATCGAAGCTGAAATGAATGAATAGTTTAGAAAACACACAACTACCGACAACTACTGTGGTTAAGCGGTCACGCAAAATAGCGGCATACTACAAGTTGTACAACTTGTATTCTTTTCACTATGAACACTAACTAAACGTATAACAAATCATAGAAAATGTAACTGACATGCAAACCGTTAATATTAAATGGTTGTGCAACCAACAAAGGCACAAATACCAACCACCGGTCACTATTGTATGAATTAACAATTTTAATTCTGACACCTTTCGAAGACAATACAAATGGTATGTCTCTGTATGAATAACGAGAATAATATAGTGACGATGATTGTGTAAGATTTTAACAGCGAAAATTTTAGTGTGAGTTTATTGTTACATGAGCTCTAAAAGCTTTAGAATTACTAAATTTTGGGAAAACTTCACTTAATAATAGAATCTGCGGTTTATCACTTCTGTAAGAATTTTTCTTTACGGATCTGGACTTCAGGAGAATAAAGAAAAGATTATGAGAATAAGAGAAGGGAAACTTGACACAAACCGTCTGCCCAGCGTGGTGTAGTAGGCCAAATCCTCCTTTCTAAGGAGAGGCCTATGTCCAGCAGTGGACTATTAAAGGCTGGGCTATTAAAGTGGCTATTGGGATTGTTAGGAGCTCAGGTCTAGTCTTTAATCCTGATATTATTATTTTCAAGTATAAAATTTCACAGTATTGACTAATAATTTAGTTACTAGTGTTAAAATATAAACATACATATTGCAATACTTATGCCAGTATTCCCGAAGATCAAATATAATTTAGTCCCACAAACGTAATAAAAACCTAGCCTATTGTCTTTAAATGGAGACTTAGGGGACTAAACTTGAGAATATTTTGAAAGAGAAAGATACATATTAAGATAGATAGGAAGGAAAGTATGTCTATTGCCTATATCTATGAATTAGGTAAAGTGAGCAACATCTTAAGCATATACCTAAGTGTCGCAGAACTGTAATACGTACTGGCTGCTGTCAGATAGTCATAACTCTCTAACAAAAATCTTTTAAAGATAGAAAGGACAGAACATGTCTGCTTTTATCAAATTAAATGGCTAGATACTTACATCTATAATAATGAGAAACAACTAAAATAAGGATGAATAGACATCTTCATCATTCATTTGTATTTAAAAAAAAAACTTTAGACTTATCTCAATATACTCTTGCTCGTATTTGAAATATTTTAAAAAGCTAAATACATCGCGGTTTTCATGAGCTTTTATAAGTAAGCAAAAGTTCGTAATAAATTTTCACAGCGGCCCTTTTACCAAAACCTCGCAAACTCTAAAAACCGAGTAGTAATTTTAATATAAGTCCCTCGGCAGTTGGTATATTAAAGTTTATATGAGAATAATATTCTCTCGCAGCTGCCGACTTAGATAACATTGCATTTGCCTTTAAATTTAAGTTTAGTACTCGTTTAAATTGAGTTAAATAGTACAGATACTTACATAACTTATAAAAAAATCCTTTATTACTATAAGCATAGTGGCTCTGTTTGCCGAAATATCAAGTTTCAAGCAACAAAGCGCTAAATAAAACTCAACTGCCAAAAAAAAAAACAACTAAAAAAGCATTGACAACAAAGAAAGTTCTCCATTCAAAAGATGATTCCATTTTCAAAAGATTTTATTTACAATTTGATATCAGAGTTCATGCAGGTTGGCGCCTAACCCGCGGGTCAAGGTTGAGAACATTTTAATGACTGATGCACTTGATGCCAACTATTGTGTGATGACACAACAGTTGATGAACTTTTTAATTTTTACTATCGCCGGGTTAACGCAACGTGTTTGTCATCTAAACTTTTTACTGTAAAAATAAAAGATTTTATTTGTTTGTTAAATTACTATCTGTAATAAAAATTTGCGAATCGGTTTATGAGGAAGTTATCTTAAATTATCTTTGTGAAGTTTTAATGGCTAAAATTAACAATATTTTATAAACAACCGTGTCTAATATTTTTGTAAAATATATGTTATATTGACAATTATTAATGGAAGTGTAATTAACCCCGTCTATCATATTAATTTTCTTAAGACCACACGTCTTCATTTTTACTATCTGAAGTGATTAATAAAAAATATTTTAAAAGTCACAAAAAAAGCCAGTATACATATTTCACGACCTAATATCACAACATGTTTATCTAAATAACATAAAACAAAGTAGAAACAGATGAGTCAGATATCGAGAAAGTAAATTTCTACAAAACACAATATGTTTAAACGTTGGGGTTCCCAAGAGCCATCGCTCGCGGTCATCTACGGTTGAACATAATTATTTGGTGACATGCTACCCGTAATTGCACTCCGCACTCGACGGGTTTACTATGTTTCACTTTATGCAGCACCAACGATTAGTTTCTTTTTTTTTAGTTTGTCTATGGTACTCTTATGACTTAGTTTTGTTTTTTTTAATTCGGGTGTTTTTAACTTTAAATTGTTTGATGTTTTCTTTAACTGTTTATCCTTTTAAAAATATGATTACTTAAAATTCAAAATTTAATTATTAACTTACTTTTTTTAATTAAAATGCACAATCAAATAAAAGTGTATAAAATATAACTTTTCATCTCAGATCTAAACGTCATAAGTCAATGAAACAATTTTGACTAATTTGCATAAAATTTCGAAGCCCCTTATCTTTAAATACAGGCAGTTTGTGAAAACTTTGTCTTATTGCATTCAAATGAGAATGCCTACCTTGCGTTGATAATTCAGGTTTTTTTGTAAAAAAAGGGACCAAAGATTGTTTATTTATTTAATTGTTGTTTCTTTGTATACTTTATAACTTGTTTAAATTTAAAATACATATATCAATTTTACTTGGTCTTAAAAACATTTAGAGAGAGTTAACCACGCAATTACTTAGTTATTACAACATAATTGTTTATAGCCGTAGCGTTATGACTTTGTTAATTATAATTCACTAGATATATCAATTTCATGAAGTACAAATTGAGAGGATTGCGCTATCAAACATTTATGGCCGCCGTGAAAATAGCTAAATTTAAAATAATTCTGACGAACTGTAACTCGATGATTGGTGTTTCAAATGAGCATCAATCGATTAGCTAATAACATCACATCACTAGTAAATACCTTTGTCTATGATTTAAGTATAATTATCACTTGTAAATTTAAAATTAACTCCGTTCATAGTTTCCAAGTTCGCGAAAGATTTTATTTTAATTATTTTGAAAATAGAAGCATGTCTAGGCATATGTTTATAGTGACCTAATTTCGACCTAATAGATTCCATCACTTAAGGTAATTTTTTTGCAAAAAGTAGGGAAGTATTTATCTACATTTTAATGATTTTAGCATGCTCATTTTAAATTAAATATTATTATTCTTTAAACTAACGCATTTTTTTGACCCTGACCTAATCTCGAAGTTATCAAAGTTATAAGTCAAACTCTGTGCCTAACATTAAATGCTACGGGCAAAGTTACCTCGGCCGCCAAAGAGATAAACACTTATCACACGGCAATCGTCCGTCGCATGATTACGCACTATCACTTTCACTGCACAAAGCTACGTACCCTCACAAGTAAACTGGCCGTAGTGTTTCCCCGACGACTTGTCTCCGCAGACCACGCACTCCACATTCTGGCTCTTATCCGTTGCGGAGGAGCCGCTCTGCGTCGACGCGGCCTGGCTCGCGGGCGTAGACGGCAGAAGCTCTTCTTCCCGCCAGCTACCGCGAAAGCCAAGCTCGAGAGGCGGGAGGTCAGAGGCTCTCGGAGGGCAAAGCCCCGGGCCTCCGACCCCGCTGTAAACTAGCGATCCGTGCGTGATGATGCCGGTTGCCGTCACGGGGCAAGAGAACGCGCGACGCGCTTGTGTGTCAAGGGTCGCGGTTCAGCCGCGACTGAGCCGGGTCGGGCCAGGGCGCGCCGCTCCGCCATTGGCCCGGTGGCCCGCAGGGGGCAGGGAGCGAAGGCCCCGCCACCTCGACATCGGCCCCCCTCCCCGGCCGCGGGGTGGAAATCTTTCAGTGGCCAAGTACCGTCGGTAAGAAAATTCTTTGGGCGGCTTTGTTGCGCTACGGTCAATTATTGTTCGCTTTGTGTTTATTTTATGTACAGATTTTTTAATATTAATATTTAATGTGATAGTATTTGTACCTACTATCTCTTTATATCTAATGATTGTTTGAATAAAACAAACTTGTTTACTATTAGCGGTAGTTACTTATTACTTTTAAACCGTTAAATTGACTTTTTTATTGTATTTACAGCACATCCTTAGTTTTAATGATAACGTGTTAAAAGTTTTCTTAAACTTTTATTTAAAAATAATAATTGAGAAAATTTATTCAGAACCGATCCAATTTAAAAAAAATGTTCGTAGTTTATGAACGAAATGAATTCCTCTACCACTAGGTATATCACTTAATAGACTAATAAGTTTACCGGTACTTGTTCTTTGATGTGCGGACTGTACAGGAAAATCCTACTTTGTATCAACTTTCCCGTTGCCTCCGTATTTCTGCGGACTGATGGGCACCCGCGCTTGACTATCCACATACATCCTACAGGTGACAGAGTGCCTCGCTGTGGGAGTGTGCCACACACACATACCAACCACTTCGACTAACAGTAGGTAGGTAGGTATATTTTCTACCTATTTATTTGATGTTTTATTTATAAAGAATTTGTGTAAAGATAACGAAATGTTAATGGGTGAGCCCGCTAACACAATTTCTATATTTATTCACGAGACGCTTGACAACTTTATAATTTTTTTTGTCAGTTAACAATACTAGCCTATAATAACAGGACCTATTATTATTTATGATAACTGATAATACACAATTATTTTACAGTTATCAGTTTGTTATTCAAAGAAGTGAACTTGGCTTGTTTGCCCATTGCGGTATCTACTTATAAATCTTTTTACAATATACTATTACAAAATATTTGACCATATCATCGGATACTGACATTAAAAATCATAAAATCTGTCATTTGCAGAAAAATACTTTACTTATTTATGTATTACAGTTTACAGTGAGACGTTATTTAGATCTAGATCAATCTAGATCGTTTGGTAGGCGGCGCACGCGCAGAGGGGCGTGGCCACGCGCGGGGTCGCGGGGGGAGCCACTCCCGCGCACTTGTCAACATGACGTCCGAACTGTTTGACGCATCACAACGCGCCGTCTATGATTTGACGTACATATTATCTCTCTTGGTAATATTTTAAGTTTTTATATAAGTTCCGATAAGTATGATTGAGTATCTATATTAATTTCATCTCTGTTTAGTAAATGAGAGCAAGTAATTTTGTTTATTGACATTGACACGTCTGCCTTTTTTTTTGACAATGTATTGATAACAAAATTTCTTATTTATGATAAAACTTAAAGTTGATAAAACCAAAAAACCGTTAGGTAAAGAATACCTACTGCAATCTTATCTTTAAGTAATTTTTATCTCTATGAAAATAATAAGTAAAAGTCTATCTATAGGTGGATTTAATTATACCACTCAAAGTGTTTTTACAAATCATTAGGTATGAATTCAATTTGATATAAAGATGATATTTTACGTAATTAATTTGTCAACCGTACCTAGTATATGATTATCTTACCTACAAATATACATTACACTATTTTGTAAATGTCTATTAGTTCTAATAATAAATGACTATAATAGCACTATTTTTAATTAGGTAATAACATGTGTTGGCATATTTCTAAACTTAACCTCAATATGGAAAGAAAACTTCTCTAGAAACTGTATTGTTTCTACCACTACGGAGGCAAACAAGAATACGATCACTAACGGATTTATTCTTGTTAGATTAAAATGTATGCTGATAAGATCAAGAGACGGATAATAGGTAATACCCATGTCAGTGATCAGTAATTATTTTATAATATATTAAATATTTTGATAAATAACCTCCAACCTTACACTTGAGAACTAACTTTAGAAAAGGTACATAGCTCTTATAAAAAGCCTATTTACGAAACTGTTTAAAAAAAGTCTACAGATTGATAGTGATATGAATGATATTAAATTATTATATTATATATTTTATATCTTATTCCCAACACTTTAGAGACAGAATTTAAAATGAAGAAGAAGTTGCCTTCATCATCATTATCAAAAGCCTTTAATAGTACTCTACTGGACATAGGCCTCAACTTAGAAATAAGGTTTTAGCCTACTATACCACTGAGACCAGACGGGTTGGTATAGCGTTTGTGTCAAAATTTCCTTCTCTTTGCTGTAGTTGTCCTGCGTAGTTTGCTCTCTTAGTCAGCTCTTACGACATCCACAGGATGAATGGAGGTGGTGATACTACGTATTCTTAATCCATCACCACATGGTCAAGACAAGAAGTTGCCTTACAAAAGTTCCTAGTTATTTGTGTAGTGAAGCTTTGGCTCTTTTAATTAAAAAACTATGAATGGATGTAATTGCGGCAGATTAGAGCCTTAAACAATCAAACCCTCGTAAAATATTGTGCTGAACTTTCCATGAAGAAATAATAATAATAATATTTTCGGACATCTAACACACAACGCCATCTAGTTTCAAACTAAGCAGAGCTTGTACTATGAAAGCTAGATTGACTGATAGAATACTTTAATACTCTTTTTTGTAAATACGTATATAGAAAACAATCAAACTCCGAAACAGATATTTGCAGATCATACAAACATTTGGTCCGACCCGGGCATCGAACCCGAGACCTCAGCACAACATACGCTACCTCTGCACCACCGAGGCAGTCAGTAAATCTTTCTGTGATATGATCAGTTCTAAATAAAAAAAAACTATGAATTTTTGTAACTTTGGTTTATTGTAGGTACTGCTTACTCCTTTTCATAATCACAAGTGTAACGAACATAGATCAATACACCTCGACTTTTTTTGGTACATACCTACTTTATTTACCTCAAAAAGGCTAGCTTTCATTTAAAAATAAATGTGAAGAAAACGGGTGCTCACCCCAGAGGCCTGAGGTGAAAGTGCGGGGGTGAAGTGTGGACTAGGTGAGGGGTTTGAGGGCGGGTCAGGGGTCGACCCCGCCCTAACCTACGTCATAGTGTGAGTGGAGATTTTCAGCGTAGGTGTGTGTGTTTTCTTAGATGTATGCCGTATTGTGGAGTGATGCTGGAACAGAAGTGACTGGATGTGGGGCTAAAGTACCTTAACAAGTCTCGGATTACGTAGTTCCTTTTCAAAGAAACCTTGAAGTTAAAACTTTGTAGTATCTTGTAAGCTCACATAGACATTATGATTAATATTGAAACATTACTTATTACTCACTTACTTTGTTTTTAAGTCTTTGTAACATATGATTGGCAGATTTCAATCACCTGCGACTAGACTTGATGTCATTCAATTAAAACGCACAATAAACAAAGTTGTTATGCTCTATATAAGCTTCATTAAATCCCGATTCATGGCTAACTATACTTAATACAGTGAGGTTTACAACTCTGAAAGTACCTTAAAACAAATAAATATCAAAATATGTGTAATTGGGAGAAATTCTGCAGTAAGTTTAATTTTTTACCCTCTATTATACTTATGTATGTACCTAGGTATACATTTATATTTCTCTCGTACTTCCTATATCTATACTAAAATTAATCAAAGTTGGCTCAGCGCTTTAGAAGTTAAATGTACCTAATAGACAAAGAGAGTTACTTTTGTATGTATAAAGTAATGGTATGGGATCTATTTTAAGTGCCCACAAACACTATTAGGTATTTTATTGATATGAGAAAAGCTAACTAGGAAATACAAAATGAGTCTTTAATGACAATTTGAATATCAAAAAGTATCCAGATTTTACTAAAGAATGTTCTATTAATCTTAATTATTCAATAAAAGCAGTTTAATTAATTCATGTAAATAACAAACAAAAACTAGGTATAGGCAAAATAAACAAAAAATCTAAAACATTTAAAGTACCCTATTTAACTAAAAACATTCACCCAAAACCCACCTTTTACCCATAAAGTTTTGTCTAAAAGACGGTCTCCGTCTGTATCTGGGCTTATCATTGATCGTGACTGTCTGCCACCCCCTCCCATCTGGGTCGACTGAGTAATTGGGAGCAGGTACCGCACCGAGATGTAACTTATTTTTACTTTTTGGACTAAATTTATGTTGGTTTTGTGTGAATAGAGTTCGTAATATTACGGAAATCGTAAAATGGGAATGGTTATTTTTGTTTTGAAAGAGAATTACTTACAAATATTTGTAACTAGTGTATGCCCGCGACTCTGTCGGTTATCGCGGTAAAAAGTAGCCTACGTCCATCTTAGAATGCCAAATTTCATTAACCTCGGTTCAGCGATTTAGCCGTGAAAGCGTAACACACAGACAAATCAGTTACACACACACATTGTTTTAGCATATCAGTACTAGTTTTTGTAACAATTAATAGGAGCAAAGGATTCGGTTTATGTCAAGTATTCCAGGGTTCGAACCCAACCTAGCATAGGTACTAGCGTGAACCCACTACTAACATAAGAACAGATAAGCTAAAGGTTACATACTCACATATTAGCATTCTACTAATAATGTGTGACCCGCGTTAGTGTACTACTAATGTACCTAAGTATCACACTAGTGAAGTAAGTAGTACCTACTATTTAAATTCAAAAAATAGATTACATGATGTTACTCTTATGACGTATGTACTTAATTACAAATCAGAATTTACACCTAATTCAACTACACTAGATTACGCAATAATTACAAGTGGCGTATTGTCAATGCCTAATGCTGTTGATTCAGATATTAGCTTTTCTATCTGTGATTTAAAAAAAAATAACTATTTAGATTTTCAAGTACAAGTACCTAAGGCTGAGAGTGAGTATTTCAAATGTTTAAAAACACGTTAAGTACCTATTATATGGACCGCAATAAATAAAACCGACTGATCAGTAGTATATTATTTCAGCACGAACACATAAATTGTACAATAAAAGCATAAAGTGCGTCGTGTAATGTCACATCGATCAATCGTTAGCGCTCGCAAACTTTTGCCATTCAAAGACAAGTTATTCTGAATGTACTGGCAGCAGCTAAACATATGGCTTTAAAAATAAATATATTCGAATACGTGGTCGAAATTTAAATTATGAAAAGGTTTTTGATCTTTCATTTTACATACTATAAATAGGTTATATTTACGAATATCGAATCGAATTAGGAATAATTAATGTTGCCATATGCTACGTGGAATGTAAGTACCACTATCATTGTAGAAAAAGTAATGAATTATAGATTACTCAATTTTTAATTTATTCTGCGATTTTTATGTGTTGTCAATTTGATTATTTTAGAATTGTATTTTACAAAATATTTTGGAAACATGTAATAAAATCTGCTCCTGGTATTTTTGTCAGATGCCGTGTGTTTATCATGTCTATTAGGGTCATTGGTAATCATGATACATGTATTTTTCTGAGTTGATTGGTTGATTTTCACATGATCAACGAATATGTTTTCAGTAGAGATACTCTACTGAGTACCTCTAGATGAGTAGTCATCGTGGATTACACAGGAATATCTCTACTAAGAGCTACATACCTAGATTACTTATCTATGGCAGAGTTTTCGATTTCTGTCTATGCTACATATCACAGTTTAAAAAAAAAATAGCGTCAATTGAAACCAAATCTGGCGGATATGAAGAAGACAAAACCAACCACATCCCATCTTAAAAACACAATCTTAATTTAGCATCAGTAATTCAGAATATTCCTCTCAAAGCAGTGAATAAATCAATCAGTCCATTACAATTTACACTAAGATCGATTCAGTAATAAGAAAAACAAGTATTGCTTGTGTCACCGTTAAATCAAGCGTTTGTTCTCCTGTTCGTTTGTTTGTAACTGTGTTTCTTTGTTTGTCGGCTAATTTAAGAACGTCTGGCAATTCATCCTGTCGGGTTTCGTTTGGAAAAATGATGTATATTGTACGTTTAAAAGGGTTAATATCTGTTACTGTCTTAATATTAAACAGTGAAATTCGTTCGTTTCGTTTTGCTTTAAATTATTAAACCTAAACAGATTCACCTGTCTCCGTTTAATTTTTTTACAATCGTATCTTTTTAAGTAATTTGTATGTTATCCGACTTTTTCAAGTTCCTCTAATAACAAAAACATAATGAAATTTTAATATTATGTAGATTATAGAATAAATATGCATTCTGTAATATGACCCAACCGTATCATGGAACATTATCGTGGCAAAAGGTTTCCATGTATCCAGTTGGAATAACAAATAAATATTATAAATGTGTGTAATTTTGCGTTGTTAATTAACTTATTATAACTCAACATGCGAAATAATTACAAATAACAAAAAAGTAATGTTAAGAACGGCAGTTGTTGTCAACCTGTTACAACGGTTACTATAGCAAAAATAAAAAAAACTGTCGGCTTAAGACACACTGAACAGTCAAATCAGGGTTTTAAAAATAGTGTGCTATTATTTAATATATCTGTTATAAAAATATATTATGTAAGTATTCCTAGTCTATCCGGCCGCTCTAAGTAGCCTACTTGTTTTTCAAGATGTATGGTATTGATGTAAAGATTTGCCATTAAGCATTGGAGATTCATCATCATTATCAACAGCCTTTAATAGTCAACTGCTGGACATAGGCCTCGCCTTAAAAAGGGAGGTTAGTTGTTAGGTTGTTGGTTTTATTGGAGATTACCTTAATTAAACTCTCTCAAGTTATACATGATTTTCTCGTGTACATTTCTTATGTTTTCATGGCTTTTTTTTCTCTATGTCTACGATACTACTAATAGATATACGCTGTTTTTTTTGTCTAAAAGCATTCCCTGGATCGAGCTCTTTCAGTAGAGGTCTACTTAAGTTGGCGAGAAAAGTCAAGTATTAACATTTTTCTTTTGCCTCGTCTGGTAATTAAATTATTGCGTACTGGTTTAAGCGGTCGCCACGCCGCTTCCTACTTCGCCGAGTGGTGTGGGTTCAATCCCCACATATACTCATAACAACACTTTGTGTGATCCACAAATTGTTGTTATAAGTCTGGGTGTTCTTTGTGTGCGTTTCACATATGTTTGTAAAGTCCCCTGCGACACAGGATATATTCCTAGAGCGGGAGTTGTCTTTTTAAAAAATGAAAAAAAATATTTTTTAAATTTAAACTATAGTGATTACCTAATATTTAAAGACGTCAACAATTATTGTTTCCTAATTATGATTTCAACATTATTTCCTATGTAATCATGTGTAAATGATTTCCAATTAATTGGACCTCAATAGTTTATTTTTCTTAAATGATAACATGGTCTTATGTTATCTCTTAGCATTCACGTGGCACTATCATGCTTCTCTTATCGCTGTTAACAATTATATGTGTTTGTACTTCCCTGTAACTATCTTGTTTATGCTGTTTATATTATTCAAATTATTATTTTAATAGCTTTTGCCGGTGTGTACGCCCGCGTGTATGTCGGTTGTGGCGGTAGCTTTCCATTGGTCAAAGAATGTTTTAAATCGGTTTAGTGGTTTAGACGTGAAAGCGTAACAAACTCGCTTGCGCATTTATACTATAAGTATGGAAGGATGGAAATATGGATAATAAATTTCTCCGAATATTCATAAGTGTGTTCTTCGAGTTATAATTTGAGTGAGCAACTAAGTAAGCTCACTTAGTTGGTATTACATTTTTTTTAGGGAAACGAGCACCTGGTGCTACGTGATTACCACCGCCCATAAAAACCCGCATCTTAAGTAATCACAAGTTCGGTGCCGCCTTTTGAGTCATTCCCTCACAATCAGCAGTGCTATTCTCTAAGGAAACAGCTTTACGTACAGCGTTTGACGCTGTGGCAGTCCACAGCGTCAAACCTCAAACTAAGTTCATTTGAAATTCGACTCTACAGCATTGTCACAGCGTCGAGTTTCAAACTAAGATAGTTTGAAACTCGACGCTGCGGCAATGCTGTACGCAAGGCTGTTTTCTTAGAGAATAGCACTAATGGACTAGATGAACTTGGTCCCGGTAACCTCACTACTCTGTGATAATCAACGAAAGAATTGCTGAACACCAGTTTTCTTTAAGGCCATGGTATCATTACGGTTGAGCCGACTCTTGTCTGTGATGAAGCATGGCTTTTCCACGTACAATTGAACGCAGTGGCATAGGAAAGTCTGTATAAATAGTTATAGTAAAGAAATGGCCTTAATCATATTTTGGCTGTTTCGTACACAAAGCTATCTTTTTTTAAATATAGGTAATACACGAACACGGCACATATTTTGATCTGATTGAGATTTCAGATTTCAAAATACTAAAGTGGTAGTTTTAAGAATTAGACGAAAAAGTCATATCTTGGTCTAATTTTGCTAATTCTTAAGTCATAAGAGATTTAAGGTAGGTACTTTCACTGTAATAAAAATGCAGGAAAATTAAGGCTTGTGTTGTGTATGTTTTATACCTTTGAAATGCCTGACGTTTTGATCAGATTGCACTAGCTGTGGTCAATAACTGCCTGTGGCAGAGCAAAAAATTTAGTAACCTGAGGGGCTAGTGTGTGTGTTTAGTAATTGCGAAAATAGAGCCCTCCTTTAATACCAATATAAATTGACGTATACTGTTAATATGGTGCTGTACACAGTCCATAGACAAGATGCTTCTGTCCGCATGAAACTTAGACTAAGACTAAAGAGTCACTCATTTAAATTGGTAATTTATCTCTCTCTCTCTCCTTCTCTCTATATGCATAAAGTTGTTAACTAAAAATTTTCAGTGTGAAATCCTCAATCCGGTCAGAAGCGCGCAACCGTTGGTCGCGGTCGAGTAGCTCTTTCATGATGCGATTTCACGCACGAACGCGGACACTATTGCTTGTCCGCAATGCGAAAAAATATAGTTAAAATAACATTTCTAAGCGTTAAAGAATACATTGTATGTTTTGAGCTACTTATTTTAGTAGATAGTTTATTGTTGTTGTTGTAAATCAATAGTTTTATCGGGTTACCAGATAATAATCTCTGTCACGATAGTTCACTCGCATTAACTTTAGGATTTGCTTGACATACTTGTCTACAGATCACTAGATGAGTAGTGAATGGATAAGTAATGTTTAATTATTATTCTTTTAGTTTTAATAGTAGTCGATTCATGTTAGAAAGTTTAGGTAGGGAGGGTAAGTGAAGTCTCTAAAAAAGTTATTTAATGATTTTTTTTTTGTGAAATTTACAATAAAAGCCTTTTTTATTATGGATGCCGAAGCAACTATATCCATGAATTATCGGCACCATATCTTTGAAGGATACTCAATAAATCTTGACTGTCAGCATGGAGTAGCAATACTATCACAAAATCTGAAAAGCAGTTATTTCTACATTTTTTTGTTATATACAGTAAAATAATAATAATAACTTTTATTGAACTTTTAGTTATTATTATTATTATATACAGTAAAATAGACATAATAAGTCTAGACTACCAAAGACCTAATTTTCTTGCTTATTTACTTTTCCATTTAGCTGGAACGCATACACTGTTTGTAATTCAAAGTTTTTATCAATTTATTCCGAATCCAATTAGCAGAACACTCCAGAACGTAATAGCACAAAACATTATTAAAAGTTACAAAACACAAAGGCAAGTTATTGTGTATACGGATATTTGCATCCATTCAACGCCTGCAATATTACCGCCCTCAATATTAATACCTCAAATATGCTTGAGTTAGTAATCCTTAAAAAGCGTACATCCCTCAAAATCCATCTAATAAAACCTCATAGCGAGTTGTACACAATACAGTGGAGGCGCCACTGTTGCATTGTGTGAAGGCGACCAATTGTGCAGAACCCCTGGCTGATCACTTAATTGACTACGGAGCGAGAGCTTTTGGGGATACAGGACCTACGAACAATCGTTTCGTTTTATACGTTTTACATTGCTGTTTCATATCAATTCTAATGTTATGACTTTGGTTATTAGTACGCAATGTATCATATAAAGTAAGTTATATGCAATTTGTTTTGTAGGTATGGTATAGGATTAAAGTGCAGTGGAAATGAGATTTGTTGGCAAGTGATAGGATTGCGTGGGAGCGTTTAATGCCACTTAATCTAAGCGATTAAGCAGGGATCAGTCGTGTTGGCAAGAGTGAACACTGCAGTGAACACAGAGAGGTGCCGTTTATTACATTTAACAAAAATCCTCTCTCATTTAACTCGCTTGACGTCTTCTAAAATATCCATCATCTTTAAGTGCGTACAGCTAATTTGCCGTACAAAAATTTTTACAACCATATAAAGTTAGACACTAAAACTAAAATAATTTTACTTTGTTAGCCTTTTTATTGGATATTTTCAACTTTTAAGTAGATGTAGACTTTAAGGAACTGTTTACAATTGCAGCAAATGTGACGTAACGTTCATATAGTACAAAAGAAAAGGCGGATTGGGAACTTCTTTTAAGACCAGCATACTGATATATATTATTATATTAATACTAGAGGAAATTTCAACCTTACTCCAATCATTTAAAGTATTACTAGAAAAAATGCATTTGCAACAACTGTATTTATGCTGAATTTAGAATCTTGTATGTTATTATTAAATATTTTTACATTGATTATAATCATAATTAAATCAAACTAAATTTTAAATGACAATTCTATTTTTTGTAATTTGTTGTTGTTCGTAATTTAAATTAAAGT